GGCGCTAAAAAAAACAAAAACAAAAAAATTGGACTAAATAAATAAATTAAAAACTATCGAAATTAAAGTAATGCGCACCGAATTAGTTGTATTTATTGATAAATCAATTTCATATGTTAATGTAATTAAATAAAAATTGTGTGTAAAATATCAGTGCCATAGGCTTCTATTCCGTTCACCTGTTACACCCTATTTTTTTCCTGACGGTAAAAAAATCATTATAGTATATATTTGTCATAATATTATAAGTATATACTTCGATAGGTATTAGTTGATATTTTATACTTAGATCATAAAATAAATATCATAAAAAAGAAAAGAAAGATCATAAAAAAAGTTAAACCTCTTTCGAGAATCAGTCTTTGTTCAGTAAAATATTCTGGTATTACGATATTTTTTTTCACTTGAACAACAAATAATACTAGTAACTAGTTATAGAATACCTTCATGAGTAAAGAGCCTATACAGCAGCGACCCCGATACACTGCAGTGGCAGGAGGCGCAACTCAGCAGAACGTGAGCATTGACGTCCACGGATGCAATCGGAGCTCTGCAATATACCTTTACTTCATGTAATATGTAATAATTAAAGTTCATTCCAGATCATCGATCTGTTTCACTTCTTTTTAGTTGTAATAATTATATTGTAATTTTTATGTAATAATAAAGTATTTTAAATTAGTTTCGGTTTTTTTTTTGGGTCCTTCGGCTGCAGTTAACGTAATTAACTTGACAACTGTATTGTTATTTACGGCCAGGTTCAAACTTTGATTTGAATTTTCGTATTAATAGCGTCGCTCCGCACTGTATGTATATCGGAGCCACGCACTGTCAGTTCAAACTAAAACTGTTGATATTTTTAAAATATTGGATTTTTCAATATATCGATCATTATAAATATATTAATATCGGAGTTTTACATTTAAGTTTATTTATCGATATATCGAAAATCCGCTATCCGTAAAAATTCGTATCAACAGTTTTAGTTTGAACTGATCAGTTGGAATAATCAGTTGAACTGACCGTGTGTGGCGACCATAAATGACACTAAAGTAAGGTGTACGGATTGCAGTACAATTCATTCGAACATAGTGAGTGTTCGGTATGCGAAATCTAGTTCGTAGTACATATTTATATATCGATGGTTCCACCGCTACGTAAATTGAACCTAAGAATAAAATTATTAACTATGAAAAGAAAATTATAAAAACCATCTTTTTTGCCGGGCGAGAAAATTAGTTTACATACGATGATATATGTAGGTCACATCCTGCATGGTCACCGCATGCACTTACCACAGGTGGACTGTGTGCTTGTTTGTCATCTTAATGTAATACAAATGTCTTGGTTTCTGAAGTTCGATTATTTAGTTGTAATGTTTTAAATGTTTACTAGAACATAGGATGTAGATCTGGAATGCAAGAAATTTCGAATATGAATTTTTAGCTATCTATTGCGATGTGCCTGGACGTTAGAACTACGTTTTAAGCGAGACAGAAAGTTGCAGTTCAGACTAAGATTATACCTATGAAAAATGGACGAAATCCTGTATTCCCTTGTACCCGTATCCTGCCTTAAAAATAATTTTAAGAACACAATTTAAGAGAGGTTGTGACTGCGTCTGTATTTTTCTTTTATTTTTTACGTTAGTTAAATTTGCTTGCAGAATATCTAAAAAAGGGTGTTTAGTTATTGAAATAATTAGTTTATAGAAAAACAAAACATAAGGAACATAGCAGCGATAGATATATTGCGTCGTAAAAAATATTTTAGAAAACAGAGGAATACGTTTTGTACACGTACTAAACCCCAGCCGAATATTCTCTCGGTCAGAAAAACAAATATTACTTTAATTATTGTGACAGCCTCCATCTTAGTACTCCAGGTGACAAAGCTTCTACATTTTGATTCTTGTCCGACGAAAGATGTAGATGTCTATGGCCCCTCAGATCCACTTATCATCAGGTGGACTGTGTGTTTGTTTGTCACCCTGAACATAGGCCTCTCCCAAGAACTTCCACAAAGCACAGTCTGGAGCCACCTGCATCCAATCCATCCTGCCCGTCTTGCCAGATCGTCACCCACCCTAAACTTCGCTTCCTATACATGTTTGCATGTGGTTAGCCATAGTGCAATTTTGACTTACCAGGGTGATTTTTTCTTAGGTAAGGACAGGACAGGACAAGGTAGACTGCTTACAAATAAATAGTTTAAACGCCGTATAGAAAAATTATATTAATTTATTTATAGTTCATTTTTGACATAACAAGATACACGTCAATACACGTAAAGTAGTCAATTTACTAATATACAGAAATATAATATTTAATTTCATTTGAAAATAATTTCTATTTAATTATATATAAAATAGTAAAAATCACAAATAATTAAAACTTTCACATTATATCATTGTATTTAAATATTTACAATGAAACTCTCTTATACAAACATAAAAAATGGAGGTGCCTTTAGCGACAACTAGCTAGTCTCTAATTATATTTTCTAGCTCAGAAATATTTGACGGAGTGCATGCAATACACGACGTGATAGCCTTCGAAATATTGCGTGGAGGTAAAAGGAACACTAGTGAGTGGATGACATTTAACATTTAAGAGGATTGTGAAGCTGTAAATTTTCATACAAAACACGATAACTTTTTTTTCCATAACATGGAAATGTTCTAAACATAATGAAAAACTAGGTCCGTATGTCTTTATTTAAAAAAAATATTGCGTAAGATATAAGTTATTAACATCTATATTTAAGACTCCAAAACTTCCTCGAGCGTTTTTATTTTTCAATTAAACTAAAAAGAAAAACCTACAGTCTCATTTCGTACAGGTTTAGGGGATGAAACCGTTATCGCCTGAAACAATGTAGGCAACTGCCTCCAAGACTTGCAACGAGCGGAATGAAACTACCGCGCCTCGTATTGATACTTCACAATCGTCTTAACGTATCAACGGCATTAGAGGATTTTGATAACACTGGATAATCGTTTCTGAAGCACTGTTGGCGCGCACGGGTCACATCGAGCACAGTATGAAAAATGGAAAGATTTAAAGTTACATTCTCTTAATAATTATTATCTAGAAATTCAAAATGATTCTTTAATCGTTGGCAACACAGAAATTAAAAATGATGTTTAATATAATATAATGTTAGGCAACAAACCTGCGACCGCACATGTAACAGTTCGTACAATGATAGTACGTCACGAATAGCAGACAATTGCGGTTAACAGACTATGCGGCATTTCATTTGAGTTCTCGGGGCGTGACAAGCCCGCTGTGGCCATTTCTGACTGCATGATTTCTATCAGCATCAGATGAACTGTTTGCTTTGTCATTCTAATGTTATAACCAAATTGTATGTTTTTACAATGGAAATATACAAAGATGGCATGTTTTACTATACTGGGCATTAAAATCTTTCGTTTTCAAGCGCAATATTAATTATTAAGAGAAATTTTATCAACTGCAGATGCCCGGGGCTGCAGTGACCACTTACCATCAGGTCCACCGTAAGATCGTTTGTCACTTCAATTGAAAAAGGAAAATCGAGCTCTGTGCTTAGTGTTGTCAAGGTAATAAACATTGAGCTATTATGTACTACGTACTAGAGGCGACACTGCATTCAGCTACTATGTTCTACTCAACTGCGGTGCATACACCGCACTTTAATCAGTCACTCGCTAGACGCTTGAGAGTTGTCACGTGTTGTGTTGATTTAAAAAAAATCTTGATAAAAATATGCCATCGTGTGTACTTGGATATTGCACAAATAATTCAAGAAATGTCAGTAAAAACTAAGAAATTACTTTCCATCGGTTAATAAGATATTTAATAAAAAGTATTATAGATTAATAATAAAACAAATTATTCCTAAGACGCCATTTCGTGTCATGGAATATAGATTATGAAATTAATATGTTCAGATGCGACATTTTTGTGGGTACTAAAGTATAGGACGATTATATTATTATACAATTTTTTTGTAGAAACATATATAAGTTATTATAATTAGGCTTATTTTTCATGTTTTTATTATTCTTTTATTTTATTTTTAGGTTTCCACATCAAAGTCAAAGTGGAATAAATTCGTCCATTATTAATTCTCGCGTGCCCAGCATTTACGAAAGACTTTTATTCTAATTTAAATAAATATATTTGTAATTTAAATGTTATGTTAATAAGTTTTGTTAAACATATATTTAGTATATTTTTTATATTTGACCTTTTAAAATATTCAGATAAAAATATCATTAAAATGTAATTGTGATATAATATTATGTAATATTATATTAAATAAGCAAATATAATATACAAGATTAATGACAAAATTTAAATATTGTTCTCGATATAATTTACCTATTTAACAATGTAATCTACTATTACCTACTGATCATTCTACTTATGTTTATTCTATGATAAAAAACCAACCACGCGAACACAGAGTAGCGCACATTTTTTGTTTGAGATGGCTGTTCTAGTACGTAAGTACATATTACTTCAATGGTAATAAAGAACAAGTTTACAAAAGTTACGGAAATGCCGTAATTATATACGTACGAGAAGAGTAACTTGTAGATCGAGACTGATGCTATATAATACAAAAAATTGTACGTATTGCATGAAGTGCAATAAGGCGAATTTAAATTGTAAACATATAATATAATATTATGTGGAATGTAAAATAGGGAGTTCATAGCATATATTGTAATTACTTTAACTGTCACAATCTTCTTATTAAATTGGTCTTTGATGTGACCGCATTGTTCAGTCGTCATGTTATTGTGAGCGCCGACCGAGTCAGTCGTTGTCAAAACCACTGTCCGCACATAACTCTCGTCCCACTATGGAGTCGAACGTATGGTTGTAGCAAGGGCACGTAGCAGAGTATGATACGAGTATCAACGACGTTGGGTGCGTGTGGGCGGAGCTGCGACAGTGCACGTCGTATTGTCGATCGTTAATGTATCCCGCGAGCGTGCGAACTTGCTACAGCAACTGGAAATGCGCCGCGCAGTTGTGTCTTGTGGCGGCGCACAGTGTGGCGTGCAGCGATTGCGCCTGTGCGGGGATCGCACGCAGCGGTAGCGAGCGCGTGTCACTCGCCCCCAACTCTACCCCCACTCCAACCCCAGACCCCGAAGCCACGCCCGCCGCCGCTCCCGCCATGCTCGAACCCGTGTACCGCGCCACGCGCGCCATTGCAGCTGCGCTGATCTGCGCGCGACAACAAACATGTACTGTTATCGTTAAAGCATATTACAATCCACTGCTTAACAGAGGCGTTCTCCATACATTTCCTCATAGGAGGGATATTTGCCATAGCGCCACGGTTGGCAAGCGGGTTGGCAATCGCAGTTTTTGTTAGTTTTAGTCGTTATTTCGAAGAAGCTGCTGCCCATCTCCTGGTTTGTTTCCCTCTGCCGCCTGTTACGACACCCGCGGGATGATACGGGGTCGTGGATATTCTTATAACCGACACTACACGGTACTCAGACACGTACACATAACCATAAACTCATATATGTGTGATGTTGATGGAATATCTATCACCATGTAATGGCAAACTTCTAAACCGCTAGTGTGAGGTCGGCAAAAATCCGACGATTAGTTTACGAATTTCAGGCGGCTATAGAAACGAACATACAAACATATATACAAACCAAAAGTAGTTAGCTCCATTTTATACTCGTTGTAGCATGGTGAGGATGACAAATCACAAGAACGTAACATGCGTGCGTTTGCAAGATACGAAAAACATTTTAACAAGATAAAATAATACCGAATTCCTTTTTATTAATTTTTCTATTCTGTTATGAGTATCGGGTTACCTTCATTAACTTCAAAAATCTAACAGAATGTGGTTTTTTACTAATAAAATTACAAAAGTTTAATTTATTTCACTTGCGTGCGCAAATAAATATGCGATATGTGCCTCATAATTGGACGTAAACTGTTAATCGAATACAATCGCAAAAAAATTTTAAGATAATTCTTTATACGTAGTACAATATACAATACCATCTTCTTTATGTAAGTATACTAAATTTAAATAGCTTTCTTGTACTGTATTATTAAACGAATAAATAAACAGAGAAAGTGGTAAAATTAAAAAAGGAATTTTATAATTTTATATTTATAACGCCATTCTGTGGATCTCGCTCAAAATAATCTAAGGCGAATGACTAATCCCCTACCCCCCTCCCCCGCTTGATTCCCCTAAATATTTTTCATTTTTGTTCGTTTCGGCATTAAATAAACCAGCTCAAAAATAGCAAAAATTAACTTAACAATACACAACAAACTCAATAATCGACAATAAAAGCAATATAAACTCGACTGAACTTGGAAATTACAAAACGTTCGATAGGTACTTCATGCAAAGTGCATAGAATAGCATAGAATAACAAGCATAGAATGTACACATTAATGTTGCCAGGTGTCCCGATGCCGTTTTTGAGGGTTTTTTGAAGTGCATGCGTTGTGAGTTCATGAGATATATTACTTTTTTCAGAATAACATAAAAATGATTCATTTAGAAAATTCAGTTCAAAACGATAACTAATCGCGACAATTCTGATTCTTATGTTCTCTTCTGATTTGCCGAAAAAGAAAAATGCACATATTATGCACATACGAATATGCAGTTTTTCCGACGTTCGGACGATAAATTATTCGTTCATTAGCTCAGTCCCAAATAATAATTATGAAGCACATTGCGCATTGTGTCAAAAATACTTTAGTATAACTCAATGCGGCCAAAATGGCTACAAAAAATCTGTTTTTATTTTTTCATTCATTTTGATTTTCCAAATTTTCAGCTTCCCGATCCACTGGACCTTGCAACAATAATACACATATATAGCGAAAGGCGCTAGCACTTGTACCTTAAAAAACTACAGGTGTAGTCAACGTCGTACTGAAAATCACATGTGCTGAGCTCCTGACAGACATTTCATTTGTTTTAATGTCAAGATATTGCAACATATTATAGAGGATTTTTATTTTCAAATTAATACATATAATATTATGTAACTATAATGTAATCGTTTTATTTAACAGTAACAGAAATTTATACGCATTCTTATTTATAAGAAAATATACATTCCGATTATAAAAAATATTGATAGCTGATCGGTAATTTATGCTTTGCTTTTTGTATTGTTAATATCCTTTTTTAAATCGATTCAATAAATAAAATTTAAGCGGTCACCACGCTACAGCGCAAGGACTATAGGTTTCGTACAACTTTCTATCACAGGCCCCTATGTTTATTGTGTTTACTTAACAACTGTTTTTGTCACAAACAAATGTTTTTTTCATTACCTTAAAAAGTATACTCAGAAAATGCTAAATTACAGAACTGAAATTGGGTAACAGTTGTCGTTGCATGGTGCGCATTTCCTAATTCATTTGGGCGGAAATGTTTAATTCTTATATCTTGAATCAAGACATACGTATCACAACCGTTACATAATAAAATATCTTTAAGAATGGCTAGCCACTAACTCTATCACTTATTACTTCAATAAAATTAACATTATAAATACAAGACAGAAAAAAAATTATACCTGGTATTCATTATTTTCGTCTGCTACTTCTAATGTCTCAGGCAGTTTGCCGGGGCGACGTTGTTTCACCAACACCTGGACAAAATGCACAGCTACTTTAAAGAGTTTCCATTCTGGTTACGACCATCAAATGGAACAGCACGTCGAGGCTAAGAGCACTCAAAGTCAAGCCAACGTTTCTGTGTGTCGCGTGGAAAGTTCCAGGTCCGTGTTAACATTTGTTGTTAACTAGCGACCTGTTTTGATTTCGATCCGGTAGTAGGGAGAGATCGAATCATACGACGCATTTAAATTTAAGATAATTATCAAAAACGAAACATTTCATCTGATAAATTTTTTGACTTAAAAAAATCTCCGAGTTTTTCGGATAGTATGCAGCCTATTTCACTTTCGGCATCGCTCTATATCGTTCTCGAAGTTTCAGTGAGATCGGTTTCGCCATTGCGAAAATGTATTTGTATACCCTACAAATAATTGTTTCGGGTCTGGATGTGTGTCCTTGTGCAATTTATGTTTGTAAGTAGCCTCCGCGACACGGGAGAAAATCCAAGTCTGGGGCTAACGTTTTTATAAAATAATTATAAAAGAATAGTGAATATTAATGTAGATATACGATATTCGATTAGCTTTATTTATTCTTTACATGCATCAGAAACTGGAATAAATACCATTATTTTAAAGTTAAAGGAGTTATAATCTATTAGTCTATGTTTTAAAATTGGGCTTTGTTTTTAAAGTTTAGCAAAACATGTACTTGCTTTTCTATCAGACATTTGATGTATATAAAAAACACATTATAATTTATTTGGTAATTTAATTATTTTTTGAGAAAGACAAAAACAATAGCAATAAGTATAATTAACACTGACTTAATAATTGGTACTAATTATAACTTAGAACATAAATGAATAACTCTTGACAAGGAAAGTGGCTCAGGACCATGCTTTGCGGCAGTCTGTGGAGGAGGATGTTCAGTAGTGGACTTGTGAACAGCTGTAATGATGATGATGATTCGAAAACTTGCACGATTAAATTATAAGAAATCGACACTTTTTTATATAGGATAGGGTGACAAACGAGCACACAGTTCACCTGATGGTAAGTGGTTGCTGCGGCCCACAGACATCTACATCTATCCTCGATTACGAATCAAAATGCATATGCGTTGTCACCCGTGAGGACTAAGATGAAATGCCTCGTTTCCTTTGAAAAGTGTCTCTGGTTCTCTACTCTCACTATACGAAACGCAGCATCATTAAGCTACTATTATACATTGATATTCTGTGAGAGCGTGGTCCTTCCCCGGTCGAACCGACCCATTCGTGCTACAACTATACTTCTAATATAACTGCATGGTTCTACCACGTATAAACGACGTACTTCATTTTTTTTTTCATTTTAAAATTGTTCTCGTAATAATCTGATTGTAAATAAATGTTCATTATTTTTTTTTTATAAATAGGTTATCGATTAAAACAAATGTTTAAAAATAATTAAATCGCGCTAATTAAAGTAGTAGGAATGTTTAAAGTTGAAATAGGCACTAAAAGGCTGGTAATTGGGTCATCCACCTTACAAAGCGTGAATATAAAATTTTAATCAGATGCGTGTAATCACTCTGGGAGCTTGTAGCAAACTAAACTCGCGGCCAACGTGTGGACGCGGCGACCAAACTCTGCCAACAATCCTTTGATCTTTTGTAAAAAACCGACACCACACGGATCTCGCGCCAAGTTGCGGGCCATCGTCCCAATACATACCAATGAAGCCCAAACACCCCGTCTACACGTTGGCCAATGCTATTGGCCACTACATTCGCCACTGTGTTGGCCAACGTGTAGAGGCGCCGTTATAAGACGGCACATTTAACGAGTGTCATTGCAGTTCAGTCTTGTCAGATATAGGTATTTTAAGTTTTTTTTTATTTTGTTAATTAAATTATTTATTGAAACATGGAACTAAATTACAATAAAAGTATAAATAAATAATTATTTAGATGAAAGCGGCATGCTCATTTCTTCTTGACCTCCAAAACCTACAGTCCAGCACATAAACAAGCCAATGGAGCGAAGAGGCGCAGCTCGTAGTCTTAATTGGTTAAACCCAGAATGACTATGCTAAGTCAAATGATGTTACACCATTAATTAACGATCCTCTTAAGCCATCTACCGTTACCGTTACCGTTACCGTTACCGCGTATCAAAGTGCTCTACCGCACACAGGCCTCTCCCATGCATTGTCTCGTAGAGGGAGCAGTAGCCATAGTTGGAAGCGGTTTCGCAACCGCAGCTTTTTATTTTTAGTCGTTATAGCCCCCTTGCCTCTAACACAAAGGATGACATGGGTCATTTGTGAGACGGGAAATGAGGTGTTGGGTTTTCTACGCGGCCTATACAGTGTGATTCAACTTTCTTTCAAACGTTAACGTTGTTCGGATTAATCCCAGCCGCCAAATTTCGTGAACGCACTACGCGGCAAACGTCCCGATACCATCCACACCATCTGGATGCTTGGCGGTCCACCACTGTACGTTTCAAGAGGAGTTTTCTTTACAACCTCTCTGTGGAATAGTTTACCACCAGCGATTTTTCCGGACCGATACGACCTGGGGACCTTCAAGAAAAGAGCTTACTCCTTTCTAAAGGGCCGGCAAGGCACCTGCAATTCCCCTGGTGTTGCGGTTGATCATGGGCGGCGGTAGTCACTTAACATCAGGTGAGTCGCATGCTCGTTTGCCCCCTCTTCTATAAAAAAAAACGTTATCTCTGTCAGTACGTGCGTATGTTAATGAAGTTTTTTTGGCTCGCATAACTCGAGAACATTGAGCTATTATGTACTACGTACTAGAGGCGACACTGCGTTCAGCTACTGTGTTCCATTCAACTGGGGTGCATACACCGCACTTTAATCAGTCACTCGCTAGGCGCTTGTAGTTGTGACGTGTTGTGTTGATTTAAATAAAACCTCTTGATAAAAATATGCCGTCGTGTGTACTTAGATATTACACAATAATTAAAAATTTCAAAACCAGATTACTTTTCATCTAATAAGATACTTAATAAAAAAATAAAAAAAAAAAAAACAAACAATATAATAAAAAAAAATATATATATATATATATCCAGTACTATAAATTCGGTACACAGTACACGCGTATTATAAATTCTATTGGCAATTTACAGATCGCTTCAGTGAAGTTCGCCGGGTGTGACATTGATGGGTATTCATGAACAGTCCTATCCATTTTCGGAACATGTTCCCAATGGAAGTACGTACACGTGTACGTGTCGCTCTGAATCTGCCGAATCTGAATATTTAGAATATATATATATATATATATATATATATATATATATATATATATATATAAAATATACATATCGTAATTAGGCTAAATTTTTTATATTTAAATCTATTCATTACTATTTTATTTCTAGGTTTCCACATAAAAGTCAAAATGGAATAAATTCATATATAATAAAAATATCTTAATATTAAATAAAATAAGCAAATATAATATACAAAGTACATGACAAAAATTAAAAATTGTTTTCGATACAATTTACCTATTTAACAATACAATCTACTATTACCTACAGATCATTCTACCTATGTTTATTCTATGATAAAAAAACCAACCGCGCGAACACAGAGTAGCGCGCATTTTTTGTTTGAGATAGCTGTTTAATACGGAAGTACATATTGCTTCAATGATCGAGAAGAATTGTGTCATAATCTATAAACCAGGAAGAGGGTCGCAGCAGGACTGTAAAAACTACCGTGACATCAGCCTTCTTAGCATTGTGGGAAAACTGTATGCTAAGGTACTAATTGAAAGAGTTATGAAAGAAACTGATAAAAAATTTGGGATGTGCAAGCGGGATTTAGAAAGGGAATGGGGTGTACAGATCAAGTCTTTTAAAAAAAAAAAAAAAAAAAGAAATAAAAAAAAAAAGAAAAAAAAAAAAAGTAAAAAACCGGATCATTAAAAGAAAGGGGTATGAAAGTGAACGCAAGTAAGACGAAGGTTATGGTTTTTGAAAGAGAAGAAAGTAAAACGATTTGTGAAATAAGAATAGAAGGGGAAATGATCGAGCAAGTAGATGAGTTTGTATATTTGGGCTGCGTATTTAGCAGGGATGGGAGATATAATAAGGACATAGAACGACGAGTGAATGCGGGAAATAGAGTAAATGGGGCCTTGCACTCTATTGTGAAGAGTCAAAATGTGTCGAAAAAGGCACGTATGGCAATTCACAATGCTGTGTTGGTCACTACTTTAACGTATGGTAGTGAAAGTTGGGTGTGGCAGAAGAAGCACGAGAGCAGAATAAACGCAGTAGAAATGCGGTCGTTAAGGAGTATGTTAGGGCTGAACCTGAATGACAGGGTAAGAAATAGTGTAATAAGAGAAGAGTGTGGTTTGCAAGATGATGTGACCAGGATTAAGAAAGGAATGCTTCGGTGGTTTGGTCATGTGTAAATAATGAATGAGGAAAGAGTGACAAAGAAAATTTATGGTGCAGAAGTGAATGGCAGAGTCGGAAAGGGACGTCCTAGGCGAAAATTTATCGACCAAGTTGGCGATTTATTGAAAACGGGCCAAATTAGGAGTACCCTTAACCGACGAGCATGTATGCGTAGGTGTATGGATGTGAAGGAGGCAAGAGAGGTGTGTCAGGATCGTGCCAAATAAAAGTCTGTAGTCTCTGCCTACCCCTCTGGGTGACAGGCGTGAGTGTTTATGTCTATGTCTATAAACCAATTACATTTGACGCTTAATTGTGTAATACATACCTTGAAAATCAAATAATAATTAATCTAAACAACGACAGCTCAAAAAAGTGACTGAATAAATTTATTTTTAATCTAGTTTCAATCTTAAATTTTTACAACTTTGCAATTAGAAATAAGCAATAACAACAAATACGAAGAAACTGATAAATCTTGTGTTTTAAATTATCAATTTCTAATTTATTCTGGTATTATTAAACTTTGTTTGCAAACTGTAAAAGATTACCAACTCTAAATAATCGATATCATTTTTTTTAAGAATCGAATACTGTACGTTCCAATTTTTCGGTTGGCGTGCTTGGTGCAATAAGTCTGACAGCTGTCAAAATGTATTTCTTAGATTTGGTTGACTATAAACACACGTATACTTAAAACAAAATTATTAATTACCTCGACAACTTCGCCCTGCAGTGGCTGCACGGTGCATAACTTTAAATCTATCATTTCCACGATGCGTTCCGTGTCAGGATCGGCCAACACTAGGAACTGCAATTAATTATAGTGAGTACATTACAAACAAACTAATTTTTATCAGGAATTCCATTTTAGTCCGCAGGTTTGAAAACACATCTGAATTTTGATTTTTACTTGTTAATGAGGATAAATGTAGATGTGTAGGGCCCACTCCATCCACTTACTATCAGGTGGACTGCGTGTTCGTTTGTCAACCTTATTCCATATTTTAAAAAAGAAATGCGGCGACCTTTTGCGTGACGATGAGCAGCATTGGCGCGGATTGCAGCAGCACCGTGTACCCGGCGAGCGCAGGCAGCTCCGCCAGCCGGAAGGCCCAGCGCACGCACGCGCGCCGCCACGCCTCCGCGCCCGCGACCCCGCCCTCCGTCTCGCCGCCCCACTCGCGCGCCTGTCACACCCAAACAATTTTTACTTACACAAACACTCACGGCTGTCACCCAGTGGGGATGGCAGAGATTACGGACTTCCATATGACACAATCCAGACTTAACTCTGTGCCCATATTAGATTTTGATTTTAAGACTTGTTGATAGAGAAATAGTTTACTTGTAAATTTCTTGCCGATTCTTCTCACAAGGTCTCTCGCAGTAGAAACTTTTGAAAGGAGTAGAAGAAAAGGAGAAGAAGCTTTTTTGACTTTCAGTTATGGTGAAGGCTAAATTTTGATAAATAAATTATCTCAATTTTAATTTACCTTTTGCCATGTAGTGGCGGTTGAGAATATCCACTACCCCATATATTCCCGTGAGTGTCGTAAGAGGCGACAGAGGGAGTCAGGCAGGAGATGGGCAGCAGCATCTTTCTGATAACAACTGTGTTATAATAAAAAACTGCGGTTGCCAACCCGCTCGCCAAGCGTGGCAACTATGGCAAATATCAGCAAAAAAACGACCCCCAGTCCCCGGCGGCCCCGCTATTCCTGGCTACGGTGGCGACCATGGTAACGGCGGGGCAGGGGGTGCTAAGAATATCCGGTGGAGGTTCGGTTGCCACCTACGACGACTCGACCTGGCAACATATAACGCACGCACCCTGAGGACTGACGAGAAGATACTGGAGCTGGAAGAAGAGGTAGACAAGTTGCGCTGGCATATTATTGGATTATCCGAGGTCCGAAGAGAGGGGGAGGATACCACCGGGAGGGCGACCATCTGTCCCAAGGAGGTGTCGGATTTATCGTCCACAAGTCTCTCGTCAACAACGTTGTAAAGATTGAGAGTGTGTCGACGAGGGTCGCGTACCTGATACTCAGAATCACCAAACGGTATTCGCTGAAGGTCATACAGGTTTACGCACCAACCTCGGCACATCCCGATGAGGAGGTGGAGGAAATGTATGAGGATATTTCCAGAGCCATGCATTCCTCCAAAACCCACTACACGGTGTTGATGGGAGACTTCAACGCAAAACTAGGCACAAGAGAAAGCGGTCAGCTGAAGGTGGGGAAATTTGGAGTAGGGCAACGGAACCGAAGGTGCCAGCAGCTGGCCGACTTTATGGAGAAAGAGGGACTCTTTATGATGAACACTTTCTTCCAGAAGCGGCCCCACAGGAAGTGGACCTGGTCGAGCCCCAACGGTTCGACAAAAAATGAGATTGACTTCATTATGACGACCAGACGCCAGCTGTTCAGTGATGTCTCAGTGATCGCAAGGGTGAAAACTGGCAGCGATCACCGAATGGTTAGAGGCACACTGAACCTAAACGTTAAGTTGGAGAGGTCTCGTCCAATGAAGTTAACGCTCCGTTCCCCTCGTGCTCTAATCCAGAATCCCGAAAACTTTCAGCTCGAGTTACAAAACCGCTTTCAGTGCCTAGAGGATTGCAATGCAGTGGACGATATGAATGACAAGCTCGTGGAAACTGTCCATGCGGTCGGAGCTAAGTTCTGCAAGACCCGCCGCAGAAGAACACAAAAACTCTCCGATCACACTCTTAATCTCATGGCTGTTAGACGGGAGATGAGGCTGCAATCGTCAACAGATTTGACAGCATACAGGCAACTGAACAGACAGATCTCCAAATGCATGCCGCGAGACTTACGCAACTTTAATACTGCTCGTATTAAAGAAGCGATCGAGCGGAACCAGGGCTCCAAAGTCTTTGCCAGAGATCTGTCTGCCAGAAAGAGCCAACTGTCAAGGCTGAAGACTGAGTGTGGAAGTATCGTTTCCGGGACACCTGAGATTCTGAGTGAGATTGAGAGGTTCTATGGGCAGCTGTACACATCATCGTTGGAGCCACACGCAAGTGTGAGTAACGATCCAAGAGCAAGTCTTATCCCACACTATTCCGATGATATCACGGACGTCAGTCTGAGCGAGATTAGAATGGCTCTCCACCACCTTAAAAACGGCAAGGCCCCGGGCGAGGATGGAATTACAGCGGAGCTTCTGAAAGCGAGCGGGTGGAACACCGGTACTTGAAGTCCTTCAGAAGCTCTTCAATTCCGTCCTCCATGGTGGCACTACTCCGGCGGCGTGGAGCAGAAGCGCGGTGGTCTTGTTCTTTAAGAAAGGCGACAACGCTCTCTTGAAGAACTACAGACCGATTTCCCTTCTGAGCCGCGTCTACGTGCTGTTTTCGAGAGTCATTACGAATCGTCTCGCACGCAGACTCGACGACTTCCAGCATCCCGAACAAGCCGGTTTCCGAAAAGGCTTCAGTACCATAGACCACATACATACCCTTCGGCAAATTGTACAGAAGTCCGAAGAGTACAATCTGCCACTTTGCCTGGCGTATGTGGACTATGAGAAAGCCTTTGATTCCGTCGAAATTTGGGCGGTGCTACAGTCTCTTCAGCGTGCAGTTGACTGTCGGTATATTGAAGTGCTGAAGTGTTTGTACAGTAGGGCTACGATGGCTATCCGAGTACAGAACCAGAGTACGAAACCTATCCAACTGCAGAGAGGTGTAAGACAGGGTGATGTTATATCCCCGAAACTCTTCACCGCTGCGTTGGAAGACGTTTTCAAGCTACTGGACTGGAAAGGATACGGTATTAACATCAATGGCGAGTAAATCACTCACCTTCGATTTGCCGACGATATAGTCCTTATGGCAGAATCGCTGGAGGACCTTAGCACTATGATCAATGACCTCAATGGTGTTTCCCAACGGATAGGTCTTAAGATGAACATGGACAAAACAAAGATCATGTTTAATGTCCATGTCACACCTATGCCGGTAGTTGTTGGGAGCACTAAGCTCGAAGTTGTTGACGAGTACGTTTACCTGGGACAAATAGTCCGACTAGGTAAGTCCAACTTCGACCGAGAGGTCAATCGACGGATCCAACTTGGCTGGGCAGGGTTCGGGAAATTACGACACATCTTCTCGTCAGGTATACCTCAAACCCTGAAAACTAAGTTATACAACCAGTGCGTGTTGCCAGTGATGACATTTACGGATCTGAGACGTGGTCCTTCACCGCTGGCCGTATGAGGACGCTCAAGGTCGCTCAGCGAGCTATGGAGAGGGCTATGCTCGGAGTTTCACTGCGTGATAGACTCAGAAATGAGGATATCCGCAGTGAAACTAGAGTGACCGACATAGCCCAACGGAGTAAGCTGAAGTGGCAATGGGCCGGCCATATAGCTCGAAGAACCGATAACCGATGGGGAAGAAAGGTTCTCGAGTGGCAGCCTCGTACCGGTAGGCGTAGTGTAGGGCGACCCCCCACTAGATAGAGTGACGACCTGGTAAGACATGCAGGAAGTCGATGGATGCAGGTGGCTCAGGACCGTGCTTTGTGGCATTACTTGGGGGAGGCCTATGTTCAGCAGTGGACTTGTGAAGGGCTGTAGTGTGTGATAGTGAATTTACCTCTTCACAACTTATTGGCTAGTTTATAGTAGCAATAAGGATCTACGGACCATGTGTTTTGTGAGACTAGAGTTTATTGTTTTTAATAGTAATAATAACAATATCGTTCATTATATTATATTATAATTATATATATATATATTTTATATATATATATATATATATATATATATATATATATATATATATATATATATATATATTTAGTGTACAAAGATGGAACATTAGAGGTGACAAATATTTGCATATTATACATAGTTTACATGTTCATAACATCTGGTTTTATAATATAATCCTAAGTTACAGATCATCACTTTTATTCAATATAAATAAAAAGAATACTTACTCAAAGTCATTAAAAAGTCCTGGAGAGAACCAGCAGGAAGCTTGCTTAATTCACAATATAACATTTTAGACAATTAAGTATAAAAACATTTAGAAACAGCATGATAGCGATCAGCTCATTCCGAGAGGTTATTATCAATCTCTGTTTAGTAGTATACCTATAATGACCGTCGCAGCCTGTTAGAGTTCACAGCTGAGCATAGGCCTCCAACATTGATTGCCTCATAGGCGGCGAGTTTTGCTACGGCTGCCGCGCGTGGCTCGCGGGGTAGCGACCGCAGTTTTTAATATTAGTTGTTATTAGGAAGACGCTGCTGGACATCCTCAGGTTTGTTTCCCTCTGTCGACACCCACGGGATGATGTGGGGTAGTTGATATTCTTATGCCGCCACTATAGAGTTAGTAGTGGTAGTATAATAACGTTTATTATACAATTTTTGCTTAACAAATATTTCAGTTTTATGATAGATAGGTCCTACATATTTCTAAAATGACATCACCCCAAGAAAGAATAAGTGATTTTTAGGAGTCAAGTAAATGGTACTCGTGACATCAAAAATTAAAAAAATAGGGTGAGATCGTGTCGTGAACACTGTCGAGTCTTTTACGTAAATACACGTAGCGGAAATATCTCAAATAGCGGCGCGCGCGATACGTCACAGTTCCCACACAACGAACAAATTCCTAATTGTTTAGCGATTCAGTGGTGTAATTGAATTTTTGATGTAGGTATTAGATACACATTTGTATCACTAAACTGTACCCCGATTCAATAAAACTCTTTTATGGATTTTATCGCGTTGATTTTACTTATTAGTCTTGCAGCGGTACTCACCACATGCTATATACTACTACAAGACTTCAAGACACGGTATTCGTTGTAGATTGAGACAGAATAAATAATTTAAAAGCTGAAGTTACACCGGGACATCAGATCAGTCTCCCGGGACTATGGATGTTATCAAACGCCTAAAACGTCGAGAATTAAGAATTGGTAAGATAAAATGCGATAAAATCCGTAAAAAAACGTCTTATTTAACGTACCGTAAATATTCATCAAGCAAATTTAAAGACGTATTCACGTCAAAAGGAAAAAGGTGATGTGTAGCGTAATGCGTAGCGTATCGTACTGGGTAGTAACATAGTGTGTAACGCATAACGTAGTGCGAAGCGTAACGTAGTGTGAAGTGCATCGTAAGCGTAGTGCGTGTACCTGGGGCGCGGCATCCCAGCCCGTCTGCGCGAGCAGGCCTTGTCCTGCGTAGGCGACCAGGTCAGCGGTGGCGCTCAGCGGCTTGGCGAGCGCGCCCACCAGGCCGCGCCTCAGCGCCGCGCCGCCGCTCGCCTCGCCAACGCACACGCCCACCACCGGGTGGTGCGCCAGCCCTCCCACCGCACCTGACACCCACACACACGTGCTCACATGCAACCCACTCGCTAACGGACACGCTGCTCACATAAGATTGGACCGTGTTGTGCGGTAGTTATGATCCAGTCCATGTAAGATTCACTTTCACCAAAGGAAATTTTGGTGACAAAAACACGTGATTACTTCAATATGGTTTATTCGCATATAGCTTTGAACAAGTAATATTTTGAACTAATATATACTAAAATAATATAACCATCAATACCGGTCCGGGAGGATGTTTCGAAAACAATATCGTAAGTATAATACCTTTAACCAGGCATTACATAATATATACGTCTATAAAATACTGGTCGGATCGAGGGTACAAAGGTTTTACTGTAGCGAAGCGTCGTGTCGTTGGTAACTACAACAATCAGCACGAGTGCGTCTGAACTAAATCTGTAGAACAATTCATCATCATCTTTATATATATATATATATATATATATATATATATATATATATATATATATATATATATAGTATTGTGGATAACTGCTATATATGGATTATTACGTATTTATTTGTATTCATATGCATTTGTGTAATTTAAAAGCGTTATTTTAATGTGTTGTATCTATATAAATTTATTATATTTAGTTATTTAAGTCACCTGCCACTAATTTCTCACCACGTCGTGGGTTGACTGGCAGAGAATGCTAACTAGCATTAAGTCCGTTCTTTATACCTTTATGGTTAGTATAATAAAGTTTTTAAATAAATAAATGAAAACTTACACATGCGTATATGTATGCATTTGTGAGTTTTCATTTATTTATTTAAAAACTTTATTATAGTATTTATTATTGTAGTATAGTCGAAGTTACACTAGCTCTTATAAACCAACATAGGTGATTCTGTATGAACACCACGAAAACATAAAACCACGTATTTTTGCTTTGATTTTTAATTAAAAATGGGCTCACTCTTGACCTCCATCCAGCCCGGGGGTAGAGATGAGATCTACTATGGAAATAGTTTGCCCAGGAGAAGCCTGATAACACGCACCTTGAAGAGGTCCAGGTTATAGGTACTCGGAAAAACAGACTGTGCGCATTATAAAACATGATTTATAGCGCTTAGTGCGAATATTCGGAATATCAATCAAGTGTGGATGGTAATCTGCAGTACGTCTGGTACTCCGACAGGCGAATGGAGATGGCAGTATGAGCTTATGTAGCTTATACGCACACTCTCTGAAGTGCAATCTGTGGCAGAATGACAACAAAGAAACTTGGCGGCGGTGAGCTAAGCTGTGAAGCTTAGTTTCCAGCGGATTTTTGTCGCCGATAAGCCTCCTGGCTCCGCGTTCAACTGAGTCGAGTGCGGCCAGTTGATATTTTGCTCGACCATCCAAAAAGTGAGTACAATACTCTATGCATGTTGTTCGAACTTCAGTATTGTATAAAGTTAGAAGCTGACCACGCGTGAAGTATCGCTTCACCTTGTTTAGAACACCCAGTTTTTTGGCCGCAGTTTGTGTTTTAGACTCAACAAACGTTTAAAGAAATGCACTTTCTTGTAGAGGAAACCCTATTACAGAAAGTTGAATATAGATTTTGGGATCACCTGTTATGTTTTAGAAGTGTTTGGTATTTAGAAATAATCTCAAAAGAGAGCCTGTTGGTCATTAAATTGTCCGGTTTGTGGTGTAAATATTTTCCGTACGGCGCAGTTCAACTATAGAATCAAACAGTCCAAAGCCAAGTTGGCAAATTTATAGGAGATTCGTTATTGTTACCGTTACAGCCTGAATAAGTAAAATCTGAATTCCACATGCAACTGTTGAACGGAGGCTTCCCTTTACATTTCCTCAATGAGGAGACATTTGTCATAGTTGCCAAGTTTGGTAGCCGGGTTAACAAACGCAGTATCAAGAAGATGCTGGTGTCTGTCTTTTCTTTCTGCTTCCCTTTGTCGACTCTTACGACAACCAGTGCGGTGAGTGGATTCTGTTACACTTTTGCACGACAAACACTTAAAATACTTACCAAGTATATTAATAGCAAAATTAGTAAGCCCCGCTGCCAAGCCTGCCAACAGACTAGGCGGAGGACGTCTCCTGGAAAAAAAGATAGTACAAGGTGAAATAGTTAAGTTACACTTTACACAGAAGTTTTCAAAATAACCAAAATTTAATAATAGTTTTAATATTTAAAACTTTCTTGCAGTATTGTAACGCTGCGGAGTCATTACAAGATTGAGCCTAATTTTTTATAATTATTTACTGCCGTAGGAAATTAAACATATACAATTTACGTATTATCAATATTGCAGACAAATTGTACAGTAATTTGAAAGTGAGGACTGGCAACTAATCAACGTTAAATGTATTTCTAAATTTTATAATGCACATCGTACTGTGATGATTACTGATTGTACTAATGACTAATATGGTTAGTTGATATTTTCTGTATTCTAAGAATATTGTGGGTTGTGTTAGCTAAGTTCTCACGGGAAGAACTACATTCGTCTCGGTTCTGCATCCATAAATCGCGGTTGCGAGTCAAGTACATATTTTTAATAATCCATACTTAATATTATAAATGCGAGTGTGTTTGTTTGTTTGTTTGTCCTTCTTTCACGTCGCAACAGAGCGTCGGCATGGCATGATTTTTTGTATGGGGATAGTTCGGTGGCTGTAGAGTGACATAGGCTACTTTTTTCGCGGAAAAACATCTCATTCCCGTGGGAAAATAGAATATGTTGCAAAAGTTTGTCCTTCTTTCACGTCGCAACAGAGCGTCGGCATGGCATGATTTTTTGTATGGGGATAGTTCGGTGGCTGTAGAGTGACATAGGTTACTTTTTTCGCGGAAAAACATCTCATTCCCGTGGGAAAATAGAATATGTTGCAAAAGTTTGTCCTTCTTTCACGTCGCAACAGAGCGTCAGCATGGCATGATTTTTTGTATGGGGATAGTTCGGTGGCTGTAGAGTGACATAGGTTACTTTTTTCGCGGAAAAACATCTCATTCCCGTGGGAAAATAGAATATGTTGCAAAAGTTTGTCCTTCTTTCACGTCGCAACAGAGCGTCGGCATGGCATGAATTTTTGTATGGGGATAGTTTGGTGGCTGTAGAGTGACATAGGCTACTTTTTTCAGCGGAAAAACATATCATTCACGTGGGAAAATCGAATATGTTGCAAAATTAAATTCAGCTAGGTGGCGCCACCGTGATTCTACAAGACGGACGACGGTACGATGGACGAACACAGAAGGTCAGAATATCTGAATTATTATGTCTTTTTACCAAAATTAAGATAAAAAATGTATGGATCTGTATTTTTCCACGCAGGACCGGGAAGAGAGCGATAAAAACATAAAATTCACCAGCTGATTTTCTTCAAACGTTTTGGTGCATTGTAATTCACAGAATAGGCGATAACATCGCAGATGATATTAAGTAATCCGTTGATGCTCTGCCTACCCCGCAAGGGTTACAGGCGTGATTATAAGTATGGATCAGAAATACTATCGCCACCTGTCACGCTTTCACCCTTAACTATTACTTAACTGTAGTAGAAACAATTCTTAGTAAGCCTTATTAATAAGCCTTAGTAATATTTATTAAACGGAATTGAATACAGTTCGTATATTTGGTTATGAATGAATCAGTATTACAATAAGAAAAATTGTGCAAAATTATGTATAAGAAGAATATTTTTGAGAGTTCTTAGTAACTAACGTATACATAGTTTAAATTGATTCCGCTAGATGTCATTACTAGGTTTTTAAAACGCGGTAACGAAATGTTTCCTGACATGTACTTAACTCCCGCCGTTGAGCCGCGCGTCAACTTATAGTGCATACGGTACCCATACGCTTAAATTGTTTCTATTTCGTAGCTTATTCGACTACCTGCTTTCAATTTCGGTTGTTTGTTATTTGCTTTGTGATTTGGTTAAGGTTGAATGGATTTATATTGGCTTTCATTTACGGATTTGTGTATTTTCTTGGATCGGTTTTGTTGATTTGGTTGGTATTCCTTTATACATATTTAGACTCTGGCTTTGATTTTGGATTTTGTTTATTTAGAATCGTGAATTGGTTTTCGTTGTTTTAGGTTGTTTAACAATATTTCAAAAGAATATTAATAGTATAGATAGTGTATACGGTACTTATACACTTAATTCTTTTTTCGTTGGTTATATTTATATTGACTACTGCTTTAGATTTCGGTTTTCTGCGATTTGTTTTGTGATTTGGTTTAAGTCGATTTTTTCTGGCTATCGTTTTCGGATTCGTTTTGTGTCTTGAATTGGTTTTGTCGTTTTGATTTTAAAAAATATTTAAAAGGAATATTTATTCCTTTTAGATATTTTGGATTTGCTTTTAAAAAAATATTTAAAAAGAAATTTAATTCCTTTTAGGTATTTTAACGTTTTTTTATAAATAGGTTTTTTGTTACTTCATAATGCCTTGCGAACATAAGTCCAGCCTTTCAAGAGTATCTTCTCAAAGACAAGCGAATAGATTAGGTCGATCACTAGAATCTTTAGAAGATGCTGAACTGAGAAGGCAAGAACAAGCAGAGCGTCAGGCTGCTTTTAGAGCATCTGAGACACTTTCTCAACGTCAGCAAAGGCGTCTTGAATAGACAGAGCATCAGGCTGCTTTAAGAGCTTCCGAAACACCTTCTCAAAGTCAGGAAAGGCGTCTTGAACAGGCAGAGCGTCAAGCTACTTTAAGAGCTACTGAAACACCTGATCAAAGTCTGCAAAGGCGTCTTGAACAGGCAGAGCGTCAAGCTACTTTAAGAGCTACTGAAACACCTGCTCAAAGTCAGCAAAGGCTATTCGAACAAGTGGAACGTCAGGCCGCCTTAAGAGCCGCGGAAACACCTGATGAAACTCAACACAGACTCATTGAGCAAGCTGAACGTCAATCTACTATAAGGGCATCTGAAACACCAGAACAGACACAGGCGCGAAGAGTTGCAAATGCACAGCTCCAAGCCGTACATCGACAAAATTTTCAAAGAAACTATTGGTCGGTTTTTAATGACGCAGCACTCAATTATGATCCGTTGATTGATTATAAAAATTACAGGTTAGTTATCGGACTGATGGACAAGACGTGTCGATTTTGCAGCGCTTTAAGGAATGATGATTGAGATAGATGATTTATGGAAAGATGAGACCGCAGGCATGTGCTGTTCCAATGGCAAAGTGTCTCTTCCGTTACTTGGGGAACCAGAAGAACCTTTGAAAACTCTCTTTTTATATGATACTAATGAGTCACGGCACTTTTTAAACAGGATCCGGAAATATAACTCATGCTTTCAAATGACGTCCTTCGGAATTAACCGGGAAATAATAATGCCCGGATTTTCGCCTACATTTACGATGCAAGGGCAAATTTTTCATAGAATAGGTTCACTTTTTCCAGCTGAAAACGAACAGCATAAATTTTTACAAGTATATTTTATGGGTGACGAAGAAATTGAGGTAGACCGTCGCTGCCAATTTATCCAGGGAGTTGAGAGAGACACAGTGTTCAAAATTCAAAGATCCTTGCATGAACGTAACATTTTAGTCAAAACATTTAAAACTGCTTTAGAAAACCTACCTGAAGAGGATTATAAAGTCGTCATTCACGCAGATCGGACCCCTCGAGGAGAGCATGAAAGGCGCTACAATGCACCTTCGATAAATGAAATAGCAGCCGTAATTAGTGGTGATCAATTTTCTTCACGAGACATTGTCTTGCGAGCACGTGATGATACGTTGCAACGGGTAGCCGATACACACAAGTTTTATGACACTCTGCAATACCCATTGATTTATTGCAAAGGACAAGAGGGTTATCATTTTCAAATTCCACTCATTAACCCGGTCACAAAGGAGCCTACTCCGAACAAAAAAGTATCATGTATGGATTTTTATGCATATCATATGATGTTGCGAGAAAATGATTTTAACCTCTTAGCCCGGTGTAGACAATTATTTCATCAATTTTTGGTAGACATGTATGTGAAGGTAGAAAGTGAACGTCTCCGTTATGTATCTTTAAATCAAAAAAAGCTGCGCGTTGAGAATTATATACATTTACAAGATGCAGTTTCTAGCGACGCCAATGTAAACCCCAGAGATTTAGGTAAAATGGTAATTCTGCCCTCATCATTCGTTAACAATCCCCGCTACCGTACTCATGTAGTACACATAAGACACATAAGTACACATAAGTACAGAGAAGACGCATTCGCCTATATACGAACTTACGGAAGACCTGATCTTTTTGTTACTTTTACTTGCAATCCTACATGGAAAGAAATAACCGAGGAGCTAATGCCGGGCCAAAAAAAGTACTGACAGACACGATTTAGTTGCTAGAGTATTTAGATTAAAAGTACAAAAATTAATGTATGTACTCGTAATTAACAAAGGGAATTTTCGGAGAGGTGCAGTGCTTCATGTATTCAATTGAATGGCAAAAAAGAGGATTACCGCATGCCCACATTCTAATATGGCTTAAAGAGATGTTGCGGCCCAGCCAAATAGACGACATAATAAGCGCCGAGATTCCGGATACTGAGCACGATAAAGAATTGTATGATACCATCGTCCGAAATATGATTCACGGTCCATGTGGAGCAAACTCAATCCCATGTATGAAAGAAGGAAAATGTACAAAGAAATTCCCTAAACAGCTATTAAATGAAACAGTGCACAATGACAATGGCTACCCTTTATACAAACGCAGAGCTCCCGAAGATGGTGGCAGGAAAGTTACAATCAAATATTGATCTGGAGCGTTCGAAACCTTAGATAACAGGTATGCCCACATTAATGTAGAAGCATATAGCTCTGTCCGCGCAATCAAGTATATCTGTAAGTACATAAATAAAGGAAAGCGACCAAACAATATTTAATCTCAGGAGTGAAGGTGAGGCAAATCCCGTTAATGACGTACAGACCTTTCAAGCAGGGCGTTATGTCAGCAGTAACGAGGCAGCGTGGTATCTCCTTGGCTTCCCTTTACACGAAAGGCACCCAACAGTTACTCAGCTTGCTGTGCACTTAGAAAGCGGATAGCGTGTATATTTCACCGAAAGAAATTTCCAAGAAAGAATTGCATCACCGCCAAAAACTACACTAACAGCCTTCTTTCAACTTTGTTAAACCGACCCCTTTGCAAAAACGTTGTTATATTCTGAAGTCCCCCGCTATTATACTTAGAACACATCTAGGAAGGAGTGGAGACGCCGTATTCAAGGCGCGCCTGTTGCAAATTGGCCCGGTGTAAAGTCATCAGATGCCCTTGGTTGTGTGTATACCGTCCATGTAACTAATTTTGAATGTTTCTGTTTACCATTGCTGCTGCACCATGTTCGGGGTCCTACAGGATATAAAGACCTTAAAACTGTCAACGGTCAGGAATGCGCAACTTATAGAGAAGCATGTGAAGCTCTGCATCTTTTAGAAAACGATAATCATTGGGATGAAACCAAGCTGTGCAGCGCCAGTCACCAGCCAAAATTAGGGATCTTTATGCAACTTTCATGTCATCTTGCGGGCTATCTAGTGCACATGAATTGCGGGACAAATACAAAGAGTACATGGCGAAAGATATTTTGCGAAGGTTACAGCAGACACACGCGAACATGACATACAATGAACACATTTATAATGAAGCACTTGAAAAAATTTAAGATAAAGTAATGGCAATGGTAGGCAAAAAATTAAGCGACTTTGGAATGATAAGCCCTCAGCGAACAACCAAAAATGAACTAAGTGATGAAATTATACGTGAAACAAACTACGATATACCATAATGATTTCTTATATTTACGCGAACACTACACATTGATTAAAACTATTTTTACGGATTTTATCGCGTTTATTTTACCATTATTTTTAATTCCCGACGTTTCGGGCGCTTTCCAGCACCCGTGACCATGGGTGTCTGGTATATCATTAATCAATACGATATACCAGCTTTGCAGCAGCAAGTAGCCGAATTTGTACCCCGCTTGCTTCCCAAGTATATAGTATATAGTCCAAGTATTAGGACAAATTGAATCTGGAAATGGTGCACTTTTCTTTTTAGATGCCCCTGGAGAAACTGGGAAGACATTTTTGTTAAATTTATTATTAGCGCAAGTACGGAAAGATAAAAACATTGCTGTGGCCGTAGCTTCCTCCGGTATAGCCACCACGCTACTAAGCCGCACTGCACATTCTGTTTTAAAACTCCCTCTAAATCTAGCCCAGGAAGAATCGCCGATCTGCAACTTTAGCAAAAATAGTGCACGGGGTATAATGCCACGACAATGCAAACTTTTAGTGTGGGACGAAAGTACAATGTCGCATAAAAAAGCTGTAGAAGCACTAAATCGAACGCTCCAGGATTTGCGCAGCAATACCGATGTAATGGGAGGAATGGTGGTTTTACTGGCTGGTGACTTTCGCCAAACTTTATCTATCATTCGAAAGGGCACACCTGCAGTTGAAATTAAAGCATGCCTCAAGTAGTCTATTTTATGGAACAAGGTGACAAAATTCAGTTTAACTACGAATATGAGAGTGCATTTGTATAATGATATCAATGCTGGAAACTATGCTGACACACTATTAAAAATTGGCGATGGGCGGTTGGAAACGGATGCTGAGGGCTGCGTTAAATTGACGAGAGATTTTTGTAATTTAGTACAAAGTCATTCCGAATTAATTGCGAGCGTTTATTCAGATTTAACGAACAACACGCATGAAGACAAATGGTTATGTGAAAGGGCGGTTATTGCACCAAAAAATGAGAGCGTTAACAAAATAAATTCAGATATATAACAGAGAAATAACAGAGTATTTGTCAGTAGACACAATTATGGACACAGAACAGAGCACTTCATATCTCGCAGAGTTTCTAAATTCTCTAGAGTTGTCAGGTGTGCCCTCACATAAGCTTCAATTAAAATTAGGCGTCCCAGTCATGCTAATGCGAAATTTAGATGCTCCTCGGTTATGTAACGGGACAAGGCTGCGTGTGACACATCTTGGACGGAACATAATCGGTGCTACAATTTTGACAGGCGTAGGAAAATGTGAAAATTTTATTATACCACGGATCCCTATAATTCCCACAGATCTTCCTTTTCAATTCAAAAGGTTGCAGTTCCCCATTAAGCTCAGTTTTGCAATGGCAATTAATAAAGCGCAAGGGCAAACGTTACAGGTAGCGGGGGTCAACTTAGATAAACCGTGCTTCTCTCATGTTCAGCTTTATGTAGCATGTTCGCGTGTTCCAAATGCCCAGAATCTCCACATTCTTTCCCCGAATGGAAAAACATATAACATTGTGTACAGTAGCGAATAAAAATAGTGTTCAGTTAGTTTTTTTTCCAAAATTCCCACAATCAATTAATCAGAATTCCCAGATCTTCCCTTTCAATTCAAAATTTACTACTTAGCTCAGTTTCTTTTCAATTCCAAATGCTGCACCTCTGACGGACCTATTAAGCTCAGTTTCCTTTCAACTCAAAAGGCTGCATCTCTGACGGAACTTTTATTTGGCTCAGTTTCCTTTCAATTCAGAAAACTGCATCTCTGACGAATCAATTTAGCTCAGTTTCTTTTCAAAAGTCTGCATCCCTGACGGATAATTATGCTCAGTTTCCTTTAATTAAAAACATATCCCATTTCCATTTGGAATAAACAGGCTATTTTCATGCTTTCCTATACGCTGCGTTTCAAAACATTTAAATAGGCTGACGAATCAATTTTGCTCAGTTTCCTTTTAATGGCTGCATCTCTGACAAATCTATAAAACTCAGTTTTCTTTCAATTCAAAAAGCAATGGATAGTTCATTTCCCAGTGATCATGCGGGCGAAGCCGCGGGTAACAGCTAGTTGTTTATAATTAAAATTCTATATATTTTTAGTTAATTAAATTGTATCACAGAACACAAGCGTGAAATAGCGGCGTAGTGCTGTTGTGTTTCGTATGGTGAATGTTGAGAACCACAGATCCAATTTACTGTGTCCGCCACACAGCACGGTCCCCGATCGACCGGTGGCCGACTGTCCGACGCCCTGAGGTTACACGTCCGCGCTCCCATCCACTACTTTAATTTTTTTAAGAATAAACGGTTATTTAATATATGTGGTGTGTTAATTATTCACATCCCCACAACTTGTCATTCTTAGTCCTCAGGGACGACAACGCTTTTGCATTTTGATTCTTAATTGAGGATTGATGTAGACGTCTATGGGCCACAGCATCCAATTACCATCATGTAGAGTGTTTGCTCCTTTGCAACTGTAATTCCATGAAGAAATGTTTCATCGTACAGTATAACAGTACGGACGCATGTGTTGTATGTGTATGCGTGCACGTGTGGAGTGTACGTGTACGTGCGTACGTGTGTGCATGCGCGAGCGTACCTGGCTGCGGCGGCTCGCTGCGCGTGGTCGTCATCGCCGGCGAGCAGGTCAAGGTTGCGCGCCAGCGACCCGGCGGCGGCGCTGAGCGAGCGAAGCAGCGCGGCGGCGGCAGTGGTCGCCACGCCCCGCACCCCACCCGCCGCGCCGCCCACGCGAGCCGCCAGCGCACCCGGTGCACCCACCAGCTCCAGACCGCCCACCACCCACCCTGTACAGTACCACGTACACCTTACCACGTTACACGTGCTTCATAATGATAGTGTTTTTAAATATTAGGATACAATAGAAACAGAAAAAGATGTTTTTTTTAATTGATAGAATCAGGCGTTACTTTGCGGAAATTCATTATAATAATGATATTAATATTTAATTCGCAACCATCCGCTTAATTAAATACAATGATGTGTCTTACCTGATTGAAGAGCACCTCCCGCCCTCCCGCCCACCACTAATCTCAGCACGCCGGGATGACGAGATTAGTGCACGCAATTAAGAGAGGGCGGGAGGTGCTGTTTAATCCAGGTAAGACACATCATTGTATTTAATTAAGCGGATGGTTGCGAATTAAATATTAATATCATTATTAGATTTTTTTTATTAAATATATATTATAAACAATACTTATTGAAAGTAACTTTTTTCATTTACCACTGTTTCACAAAAGAACCTCTGTCCTAAGAACCAGCAAGAAACCCGGCGGGACTATTTTTCTTTTTCTTCAAATAATAGCTTACAATCATGTACGTTACAATTAACAACACAAAACAAATTAGAAATAGCTTGTTAGCGGGTGATCGCTATACTCCCAGGGGTTATTATCATCCATAAATTCCTTAACATTATAATATTGTTACTTCAGACTTAAAAGATGACACGGACGTGGAACGTCAACGTAGATCTCTGTGTGTAGTAGGCAATATGATTGCACGAAAATTCTGCAAGGCGTCGCCGGACGTGAAAATTACACTGTTTAGATCTTTCTGCCAATCATTTTACACGTGTCAACTCTGGGTAGACTATACCAAGTAAAACCGTAGTCGCTAGATAATAAACAGTTGACTTGTGTAACAACTCTATTGTCGAGTTGGGATAGATAGATATGCATGTACATATGAATAGGTATCACATGTCTATCCTATATATATATATATGCTATATTATATTTTCTTGTAAATATGGATCTTTGTGTCTGCAATAAAGGATTATTATTATTATTATAATAACCCTTGTATAAAAACTTAGTTTAATAAAGTTTTTGAACTTTGTCTATGTCAAATTTCATTTTTATATTGCATATTTTCTGGGATTTTGTTGTAAAAGCGTATACATCGCCCCAAAAATGAATTACTGACTCAGTGGAGTAGAGTGACCGGTACTACTAGCTTAGTATTTACAGAAAGAAAATCACTTATTTTTGCAAAACTACTTTTATTTTTGTGTACGTACATTACATTTTCATAAATGTATTGAGAGGCCAGAGATAATACATTAATTTCCTTAAAATTTTGTCTGAGCGACTCTTTTGGTTTTAAATCATATATTGCTCTAATGGCCCTGGCTTTTGTAAAACAAATATAATTTCAGCGTCAGTCGCGTGTCCCTATAGCAAAATATCACACGACATAATGCTACGGAAATACCTAAAGTAAACTATTCTAGCTGTTTCAACACTGGTAAGAGTTCTAATCTTTTTTATGGAATATGCTGCAGAACTAAGTCTGCTAGCTAGTTTTGATATATGGGGGAGCCATTGAAGCTTTGCGTCTAGTGTTATTCCAAGAAAAATGGTGGTATCAACAAGACTCAGCTCCTCCCCTAGTATCATCCCCTTAGTATTAACATGTTTGACATTCAGAGTTACGAATTTCATATATTTAGTTTTAGATCCATTTAAATGCAAATTATTAACATTAAACCAATTCACTAACTTGGCTGTAGCATTATCTACTTCGTCGTAATTTAATAACTGTCATTTAAATTTGAAAATTAATGAAGTATCATCAGCAAATAATACTATATCATGGTTATCCCCTACTATGTAAGTCATTAATATATACAAAAAACAGAAAGGGGCCGATAATTAAGGCCTGAGGCACGCCCATTTGTACAATCGACCCTGAAGAACTCATACCATTAATGATATTTTTTGCGTTCTGTTACTTAAATATGAAATAATTAATTTAAGAGCACCACTTCTTACACCGTAGTGTTGAAGTTTCCTGATTAATGTTTCATGGTGAATACTATCGAAGGCTTTGGATAGGTCACAGAATATACTCAAAGCATCCTGTGAATTCTCCCATGCATTGGAGATATATTTAATCAGCTCAACACCAGCATCAGTTGTCTAGCGACCGAGCGGTGGCGGAGGTCACTTCTTCTATCGTTGGCGAACTTGATCTAATCGTCACGCCGGTTTTCGTACCAATTTTTTTAAATAACCCAATTATACGCTAATATTATTACTCAAACATACAAACCCTTTCACAAGTCACGAGTATTAGGTTCCATCATGGTGTAATGGTAGCTATGGCATGAAAACAAATTAATCTGAACGACCAATAGTAGTCTGAACCAACAACTTTAGTTGTAGAATTACAACAGTATCAAAATCTAGAATTTCTAATCGTTACAATTAAAAGGAGATTCAACGAAAAATAACGGGGATATTATTAATCAACAATGACATAAATTCAAAGCCATTTAACTGAACCACTTTTGCAATAACATTCAAGGCTTACTTTAAAAAAAAACTTCATTTACAGATTTTATGGCGTTGAATTTGCTTAATTTGAATTTCCGACGTTTCGGGTACTTCCCAGCACCCATGGTCACGCGGGACTGGGGTGATTGACGTCCCAAGTCAGAACCTGAGAGTCAGAGTTAACCCGAAGTATCTTCAGCTTTTTAATTATTATTTGTGGTCTTGCAGTGGTACGCTTGGTTTTAATCTTAATTTTATTAATTACAGAATCCCAAACACGTGGTAGTAACCAGCCTCTTTCTTTATTGAGAGAAGGAAGTACCCAGTTGAGTACTACAACCATTTAAGAAGTTTAAAACTTATGAAAGAGTAGTAATATTTATAATAGTAGCATTAAATGATAAAATTGAATATTAATAAATTTATTTTCTATCTACTTATTCAACCATCTTTCTAGCAAATAATTAGATATATTTACCACCAAGCAGCAAAACATCCTTTAAAAGAGTAAGATATCTTGTTTATAGGTACACGCCTTAAGACATCTTAATCCTCATAGATGTCAAGTTAACTGTAATCTCCTTTGTTTTCAATTGCCTGCAGGTATCCGTATACTGCAAAAGTAGTTGCTTACCATTACATAGAAGTTAGGTACTTTGATATTGTACTGACCCGCACTAAGCAAGGCCGCGGAGAGGTAGTGCACGGTGAGTACGTGCGTGAGATGTTCCACGGACGTCATCGCGTCGCGCATGCGGAACGCACCCAGCCGCAGAGGGCTCTGGTCCAGCGCTATGTACATGCGTATCTACGTACACCACAACAAAAACTATAGTTATTTTAAAAATGAAATTATAGATATAAAATATGACGTACACAATTTAGTAAAAAATATTCTTCATATTTCAACAGTATGTAATTTGTACATAAATATAATTACCAAAACACACGATTTCAAAAAAAAAAACCGAGCAATACTCGGTCATCCATGTACTTAACATAATGCTACCAATTAAATTATATTGATTATCATAATAAAAACCGCTACAAAGTCGTCAAATATCGCGTTATTTCTTTAATTGACACATGATGCATGCTCAACCACTTAGGCGCCGACAGTGAATTGGACCAACTTACTCAGACCTATGGTCATGCCAGAGTATAGTAGGTTAGGCCCATGAAAATATTTTTTTAAATGAAGGTAAATATAACTTACAGTCATTAACATACTCTTATCCAAAAATAAAAAATATCGAATTATTTGTATGAAGTTTAGAGAGCTAGAGAAACGACGATTATAAGACGTCGTTGATAAATAAAATGTAGTTGATTACCGTGTAATGGCGGTGTATGAATATATATATCATGCCATGTCGCAAGAGGCGACTGCACTTACGGGAAAGTGTTATTTTTAAATAACTGTGACCGTCGTTCTAGTTACAAAAAAGTCACAGAGAAAAATCATTGCGAATTTGTCACGTGTTTGAACGACTTATAACGTGACTATATATGCATTTTAGGTTTAGTATTAGGTTTTATTTCAGTAGTCCATTTTTATTACCTTAGTTACCTAAGCTACCTGGCTATGTTAATAATACCATGCTAATTATTATTTTTGAAATATAAGAATTTCAGTAAAGTAACCTAAAAATAGCCGATCAGTCGGTGTACCGTTCCAGTACACGGTACACGTACCTTATTGTACAGTAACAAGGTATGTGTAAGTTAGATGAATAAATAATATTAATTTTAGAAAATTGTATTGGTGTCTAACTTCATGTTGGTAAAATCCGACAGTAGGAACAGGACATATGCAAATAGCGATACAAAAATAAACATAAATCAAAATATTTCTCTTTATATTGACTAATTAAGGTACCTTAAAATAAATACAGTAATTGTTAATAGGATATTTTCTTACAAATATTTGTGTGTATTTTGTTTAATTCCTTTGAAAATAAGTTAAATGTCAGCGACTGAATTGATAGTTGTACTCCTAACATACATGTATAGAAAATAGAAACTAACTATGAAATTTTATTGTTATTAGTACGCCCAGCGCAGGTTGGAGTAAGACAACTTTTGACGTCATAAACTAGTGCCGACTTCTGGAATTTTCCGTCTGTGTTGTGCTTGTACATTGTTTTACGTTCGAGAACGTTCGATATTACTATTTTTATAGTCGAAATGGCGTTCAAAAATATAATTACAAAAACTCATGTTTAATTTCGTTTTAATTATAGGAATTTTAGCTTTTTTGAGCTAAGCCATCTCTTGACTTAATAGAAATGAACTTTTCTTAATGGAAATCGAATTTTATCTTCCGAGCATAAATGTCTTATGCAAAAGCAATACGTGTAAATATACACGATTTTTTTAAAACTAATGGATGTTAATGATGTTAAACAATATTTTACATTACATTGAAATATCTTGTATGTAAAACTGCGATTAAGCAATCAAAACCATACATTGAAATACGAAAACCCTTTTTAAGGGGCGGTATTAGATTTTTGATTAATAAACATCGTTTCATAAATTCATACCTATGATTTATTGAGCTACAAGATACCTTACAATTATCGCACGCATAGATACATATATAAATATAAATATTTATATATGTATAAGTTAATGATTTTATATATTATTTCGATATAGGTTTATTTCAAACATATTGCATGACACATATATTCAATGTGCATTTTATCGTTATTTCCATTTTATAAACCTTATATTCGATTTTCACATGCAATGTTCACTTCACGTTTAGGTATATTATCATCGAAATGGAATAACGCCAAATGGAGGAGTAAGGACACCCATAGCACAGGGCAACCTAGTTTGGGTTCATGTATCCCACAACTATTTTTTTTTATAGAATAGGCTGACAAACGAGCACACAGTCCACCTGATGGTAAGTGGTTGCTGCGGCCCATAGACATCTACATCTATCTTCCATTACAAATCAAAATGCAGATGCGTTGTCACCCGTGAGGACTGAGATGGAATGCCTCATTTTCAGTAAAAAGGGTCTCCGGTTCTCTACACTCACCATACGAACCAATACAACTAATAATACTTAAACTATTTATGAAACAAAATTAAAGTAACTATGTAAAAACTTGAACCTGAACTTTCATTCAGACCACAAAATAATAAGATCGACAATAACACTAACCAAACGAAAAATATCTAGAACCAAATTTATAAATAGTCAAATCAGTCTACTTAAGAGCGAAGGCGAAATAAACAAGTACAATGAAACCCTAATATCACAGCTATCTGCAACTTCCTGCGAAAACACCTCGATAAAATATTGCTACGACAGGATAGAAAAGGCCATCATTTTTAGTTAAAACAAGCCTGCCCAAAGAAAGAAAAAAAAAACAAACAAAACAAAATACAAGTACATTAAGGCTATTAAAGAGAAGAAAAGAATTACAGAGAACTAAAAACAAATCACGAAGCGAGAAAAAGGAACTTTCCGCACTATATAAAGTAGTCAACAAATATATAAAAACAGATTACGCATAATATAGACAGGACACAATAAAAGAACATCTACAAAGCACTGGAAGTACAAAGAAGGCCTACAAGAAACTCAGAACCAATACAACATGGATAGAAGGACTGAGAAAACAAGATACAGAGCTGTACGTTAGAGGCGATATCATTACTACCGCAACAGAATTTTACAGAAATCTATACAGCAACACAGACACGACAACCATAAATTTCGACAAATAAATAGAGTATACACAAGATAGAAACATAAATCAATAGACGCAACAGAAATAATAGAAGCAGTAAAGAGACTGAAGCTAGAAAAAACCCCTGGTTCAGATAAAATTACGAACGACGCACTAAAAAAAGCACACATAACTCTAGCTGAACTGTTTAACATGATTCTACAAAATTCTGAAATACCGTCTCAATGGTCCGAATCTAACATCATATTAATATATAAAAAAGGCGACCCGAAGGACATCGGAAACTACCGACCAATTAGTTTGCTACCGAGCCTATACAAATTATTCCCCGCAATTATAAAAGCAAGGATCAGCGAAACATTGGAAAAAAGCAACCGGTAGAGCAAACAGGCTTCAGAAAAGGTTTTTCAACAATTGACCACATTCACACACTTGAATTGATTATGGAAAAATATCACGAAAACCAAAGAACACTTTATATAGCATTCATCGACTACCAAAAGGCTTTTGATACGGTAAGACACACAAGTATCTGGGAATGCCTGAAGGAACAAGGAGTGGAGAAATATATGTAAAAATCATCAAATCCATATAATAACAACAATAGTAATAATATTCCACAACTATCACATAACGCCATCTAGTCCCAAGCTAAGCAGAGCTTGTGTTATGGGTACTAGACAACTGATAAACATACTTATATATTTTTAAATACATAAATATTATAGATAAATTACACCCAGACACAGAACAAATGATCGTGCTCATCACACAAGCATTTGTCCTGGGTGGGAATCGAACCCACGACCCCCGGCTTAGCAGTCAGGGTCACTAACCACTAGACCAACAGGCCTAGTGGTTACACCTACAACAATAAGGGTAAAATCAAGCTAGGCCTCAGGCCCTTGCTTCCCAATAGAAAGGGGAGTTAGACAAGGTGATCTGCTGTCTCCAATAATATTTATAGCCGTCCTCGAGGCGATCATAAACAAGCTAGACTGGAGCAAACGAGCTCTATACATAAATGACACTTACTTAAGCCACCTGAGATTCGCAGATGACTTAGTACTATTTTCATAGTCATCCTCCCAGCTACAGAACATGGTAGAAAACCTACACCTAGCTAGTGTAAAAGTGGGACTAGAAATTAATATTACTAAGACAATGTCCAATAGCTTGAAAGACCAATATTAGTCAATGGCAAACCATTGGAACTGAAAAAATACAATAAGTTTTGAAGAAAAACAAGAACTAAAATATAAAGAAGAATCCAATTAACTGGAACAACACTGGATTCTCCAGACATTTTAAAGTAATATGCCACAGGCTATTAAAACAAAAGTCCATGAACTCGAGCCTTCCAGCCTCGTTGGACATATGGTTGCCAAACGTGGAAATTCACTGCTGACACAAGAAAGAAGATCAGCGGCTGTCAGAGAGGGCTCGAACGAAGTATGCTAAAAATAAGGAAACTGGATAAAATACGACACACAAAAATAAGAAAAATAACTAAAGTAACAAACGCTCAGAGCTACGCACAAACATTGAAATGGAAGTGGGCAAGACATGTTGCGCGGCTAAAAAAGTAACATCCTTGAATGGCCCAATAGGCAAAAGAACAAACGGGAGACCTATTACAAGATGGAAAGATGATATTAAAACAATAGCTGGTCCAAACTGGAGACAAGTAGCTCAAGAGTCAAGACAGAATCAAATGGGCATCACTGGAGGAGGCCTTTACCCATTCTGGGGTTCCTGTAGATTAAACAAAAATAAGGTAAGACAAATAAATATATTATTATCAAAATAGTTATAGATATATTATAAGTAAATAGATAAATATAAATTTATGAAAACTTATCTACACTAATATTATAAAGAGAAAAGATTTGTTTGTTTGTTTGAATTGAATAGGCTCTGAAACTACTGAACCGATTTGAAAAATTCTATCACCATTAGAATCCTACATTATTCCTGATGAACATAGGCGATAGAACGTTTTCAAAAAATTTAGGGATCCGTATGAAAACTTCGTTAATGTAACCCAAGCTGTGAAAAAAATACCAAAAAAAAAACTTATATCGCGTACGCTGCGGAAACTATTGACAATAGAGCAAAGTATTGTGCTACAGTTTTATGGAGGACATCAATATCTACATAAAAGTCTGCAATACCATATGTCTAACTATTATAGTTATCTCACAATAACTACTTTTCCATGTTAAAATATTCAATAGTAACGTCGAAAAATCCTTATATCGCGTACACTGCCAGCACCATGCGATGCGAGTGTCACTGGGGTGTGGGAGGGTAGTCTATGTCAAAAAATAAATTGCCGCGCGACCCATCGCGCGGTCGGCCCCCTACGCAGCGGTTGTGTGCGGAATCCAATAAATTTTATAAATATATTTCGCTTTAAATTCATTTAGTAGGTGTTGATTAAATTTAAACCCAACTAAAAAGTTATTATTAAAACCAAACAAAAGTTATTTTCAGTTCTAAACCCATTTTTTATGTTATATTCAGTAGGTACTAATTGATAAATAAATATTGTGTACATTTAACTATCCAAACAGCTTAGTAACTTAGTAGTTCTTATAATTTTTCAATTACATTTTTATATAGGTAATTCCTGTTCAACAGTTGAGCATATAAATTTAGTACAAGGGCACTTTAAATTTTTTTATCATTTTGTCTTTACCTACTGATAATTAAATAATGAAAAATGCCCAAAAGATCAGGATCTCAACTTTCCAGAAATAGTTCCCAGGCGACGGCATTAAAAATACGTCGTAAAGGAGAATCTTCATCAGAAACTAACTATCGTCTTGCAAATCAGAGAGAATACGCGTCGCAATCGCGTGCCAGAGAGTTGAGTATTGAGCGTTCTCATTGGCTTGAGGAACAAAATTTGAGAATCTCTCAAGTACGCGCGCGAGAGTCGAGTGTCGAGCGTTCTCAGCGGCTTGAGGAACAAAATTTGAGAACCTCTCAAGTACGCGCGCGAGAGTCGAGTGTCGAGCGTTCTCAGCGGCTTGAGGAACAAAATTTGAGAACCTCTCATGTACGCGCGCGAGAGTCGAGTGTCGAGCGTTCTCAGCGGCTTGAGGAACAAAATTTGAGAACCTCTCAACTACGCGCGCGAGAGTCGAGTGTCGAGCGTTCTCAGCGGCTTGAGGAACAAAATTACTTCAACGCGCCGAGAGTCGAGTGTCGACGTTCTCAGCGGCTTGAAGGAACAAAATTTGAGAACCTCTCAAGTACGCGCGCGAGAGTCGAGTGTCGAGCGTTCTCAGCGGCTTGAGGAACAAAATTTGAGAACCTCTCACGTACGCGCGCGAAGTGTCGAGCGTTCTAGAGGAACAAAATTAGAGAACCTCTCATGTACGCGCGCGAGAGTCGAGTGTCGAGCGTTCTCAGCGGCTTGAGGAACAAAATTTGAGAACCTCTCAAGTACACGCGCGAGAGTCGAGTGTCGAGCGTTCTCAGCGGCTTGAGGAACAAAATTAGAGAACCTCTCAAGTACGCGCGCGAGAGTCGAGTGTCGAGCGTTCTCAGCGGCTTGAGGAACAAAATTTGAGAATCTCTCAAGTACGCGCGCGAGAGTCGAGTGTCGAGCGTTCTCAGCGGCTTAAGGAACAAAATTTGAGCACCTCTCAAGTACGCGCGCGAGAGTCGAGTGTCGAGCGTTCTCATTGGCTTGAGGAACAAAATTTGAGAACCTCTCACGTACGCGCGCGAGAGTCGAGTGTCGAGCGTTCTCAGCGGCTTGAGGAACAAAATTAGAGAACCTCTCAAGTACGCGCGCGAGAGTCGAGTGTCGAGCGTTCTCAGCGGCTTGAGGAACAAAATTAGAGAACCTCTCAAGTACGCGCGCGAGAGTCGAGTGTCGAGCGTTCTCAGCGGCTTGAGGAACAAAATTTGAGAACCTCTCAAGTACGCGCGCGAGAGTCGAGTGTCGAGCGTTCTCATTGGCTTGAGGAACAAAATTTGAGAACCTCTCAAGTACGCGCGGAGAGTCGAGTGTCGAGCGTTCTCATTGGCTTAAGGAACAAAATTTGAGAACCTCTCAAGTACGCGGAACAGTCGACCACAAACCTCTCAATACCGCGCGAGAGTCGAGTGTCGAGCGTTCGCAGCGCCTTCACGTTCAGTTCACGATCGAGTTTTAGTTCACAGTAACAGATCGGCTTTCAGATACGATCCACAGATTGATTATGCTCAACAGTCTTCCGTCCAAATCGGAGCCATGAATAAGATCTCCTCTAAGTGTTCTGCCAAAAAATGGGCCGAAGAACCTAATGGTATGTGCTGTGCTTCTGGAAAAGTTAGTCTCCCCAACATTCAGGAGCCGCCACAGCCAATAAAAAATCCTTTAACAAATAATCATTCACTATCTGGACAATTTTTAAGCAACATACGCAGGTACAATAGCCTATTTCAAATGACTTCGTTTGGCGCGAAAGAAATTAGAGAAGAAAATTTTATGCCTACTTTTAAAATAGAGGGACAAGTATATAATCTTATAGGTAGCCTTTTACCACCATCAGGCCAAAATCCACAATACTTGCAGATATATTTCACTTCAGACTCAGATCAGCTATCGTTGCGGTCAAATATAGATCCAACGCTAAAAATTGATTTAATTAACGAACTACAGACCGCACTGAATAGCCACAATTTATACATACGAAGTTTTAAACAAAACTTAGAACGTAACTCTTCGGATAATTTAAAGTTAATTATTCACTCCGACCACAGACAGCACACCCGGGCAGATATAATACTCCAGCTGTAAACGAGGTAGCCGTTCTCTTGGTTGAAGAAGAAAAAGGCCCCAGAGATATAGTACTGCACGGTAGAGACGGCCAACTTAAAAGGGTCTCTGAGTTACACCGATCCTATGATCCACTACAGTATCCCTTAATGTTCGTGATGGGAGAAGACGGTTATTATTTGACCATTCCTCAGCAAGGTACAGTACGTAACAAAACCGTGACGTGCGTGCAATTTTATGCATTTAGATTGATGGTTAGAGCTAACTGTTTTAATCCACTACATTATTACAGGGACTTATTTAGTCAATATATTGTCGATATGATGGCAAAAATGATATCAGAAAGATTGAATTACATAAGTCATAATCAACAAAGACTGAGGGCTGATGAATACATTCATCTCAGAGACGCTTTAAATCAAGATGCATATGTTGACCCATCAAATTATCGGTCAACACGTAATCTTGCCATCTTCATTCACAGGTTCTCCGCGTTATTTGCATGAAAAAACCCAGGATGCGATGACTTATGTCTGAAACTACGGAAGGCCAGACTTATTTGTGACTTTTACGTGTAACCCCGAATGGCCTGAAATTAAAGCGGAACTATTATCTGGTCAGCGGTCTTTCGATCGTCATGATATAATTTCAAGGGTATTTCATTTAAAGATGAGGAAATTCATAAAATTATTCACCAAAGATGAAATATTCGGTAAAATGAAATGTTACATGGCAAGTGTGGAGTGGCAGAAGCGAGGTTTACCACACTGTCATTTGCTGTTTTGGCTAGGAAGAAAAATCCAGCCAGACGAAATTGATAGTGTCATAGTTGCAGAACTGCCCCGATATTGTACGATATCGTAACTAAAAATATGGTGCACGGACCATGCGGAGAGCATAACCTAACAGCACCATGTATGAAGAATGGTCTCTGTACAAAAAAGTACCCTCGACGTTTCGTCAACGATACCCAAACCGGAGAGGACGGATATCCAGTTTATCGTCGTCGTGACGCCGAAAATAGAGGACAGAGCGCTACGCTAAATATCAGAGGAAGTAGAGTCGATATAGGTAATAGATGGATTGTTCCTTATTCTCCACTATTGTGTAGGACGTTTAACGCTCACATAAATGTGGAGTATTGCCACTCAGTTCAAGCCATCAAATACATTTGTAAATATATCAATAAAGGTTCTGACCAAGCTACTTTTAGCGTAAGAAATCCAAATGATGAAGTGGAAAACTACGTGAATGGCCGGTACATAAGTACATCCGAAGTTGTCTGGCGAATATTAGAATTTTCGATTCACGAGCAGCATCCTACAGTCGTGCAGTTAGCCGTCCACTCAGAAAATGGCCAAAGGGTGTATTTTACCGCAGAAACGGCTGAACAAATGGCCCAATACCCACGTAAAACTACTTTGCTGGCTTTCTTTGAGCTCTGTAATGAAGATTAATTTGCAAAGACACTTCTATACCACGAAGTCCCGCAATACTACACATGGGCCAATAATAAATTCACAAGAAGGTGGCGTGGTGAGGACGTAGTTGGCCATCCAGGCATAAAAAAAGATGCCGCTTTAGGAAGAGTCACGTCCTTCTCAAACAGTGTTTTTATCTTAGGATGTTGCTACATCACGTACGCGGTCCAACCTCATTCGAGTACTTAAAAACTGTTAATGGAGTTCTCAAAGAGACCTATCAAGCAGCTTGCCGTGACAGAGGTTTGCTACAAAACGATGACCATTGGGAAAATACTCTGAGAGAAGCATCGCTTTCGCAATGTCCAGCACAACTGAGAGAATTGTTTGTAGTCATACTTTCATTTTGCCAGCCATCGGAACCATTGAAATTATGGCACAATTACAAAGACGATTTATGTGAAGATATTAGACACAAAATCAGACAGCAAAATCAAGACTTCGCCTTACCATACACTAAGGACATTTATAACGAAGGTTTGATATAAATAGAAAATAAACTGTTGCAATTAAATGATAAAAGCCTCAGTCATTTTGGATTACCTTCTTCAGTTCGTACAGAAAACAATGCTACAGATACAGTGGCACATCTCTATAATACAAATGATTTGACCACTTTTGTCAATGAAAACCTGCCAAAATTAGTCCCAGATCAAAGACATGCTTTTGAGACTATAGTCGATAGCGTGAATAATAACAAAGGAAAAAATATTTTTTTTGGATGCGCCAGGTGGCACTGGAAAGACGTTCCTGCAAATTTGATACTTGCTAAGATACGACAATCGGGGAAGATAGCAATAGCAGTTGCTTCGTCAGGAATTGCTGCAACTCTCTTAAAGGACAGAAAAACTGCTCACTCTACTTTTAAGCTTCCGCTATCTGTAACTCTTGAGCAACAATCTACATGTACATCCGCAAAAATGGGCCTCTTGGTAAATTACTACAAGACGCCTCATTAATTACGTGGGATGAATGCACCATGAGCCATATAGCACATATAGAGGCTGTGGACAGAACCTTAAAAGATCTTAGAAACTCTTCTGCTCTTATGGGCGGGATTACTTTTGTATTTGCTGGAGATTTCCGACAGACACTTCCCGTCATTAATAGAGGTACGCGAGCAGATATCATCAAAGCATGCTTGAAATCGTCTCCCTTATGGACTTCGATTGAAAATTTAAAATTACGGACGAATATGAGGGCTCATCTTCATGGAATCACAGATAGTGATTTCCCACAACAACTGCTAAAACTTGAGGAAGGAATTTCTCCCACTCCAAATTTAAGCAGAAATTGGGACGTCCTTCTGGATGAGTCTCTAGGAAAAATAGTCCATAATTTAGAAATTTTAATAGATGCAGTATGCCCTGACATCGAGAATTTGAACGAAAAGGACTTTTATTGGTTGTGTTCTAGAGCAATAGTGTCGCCTAGGAATGATACTGTCAACGAAATAAACAATCTGATTATTCAAAAAGTCCCCGGACAAATAAAAAATTACAAATTGATCGACACCGTGACTAATATCGAAGACGCAGTCCATTACCCACAGGAATTTTTAAATTCACTAAACCCTTCTGGACTGTCACCACACGAATTGACGTCAAAAATCGGAACGCCAATCATGCTTCTGAGAAATTTAAGCCCCCCAAGCATGTGCAATGGGACGAGGCTGCTTATTAAGGAATTGAAGGATAATTTAACTGTAGCGACCATTATCATCGGCCCATCAGTTAGTCAACTAGCTCATATACCGAGCATACCGATGATCCCAACTGATCTGCCAATCCCATTTAAACGGCTTCAATTTCCGGTAAAAATATCTTTCGTGTTAACTATTAACAATTCCCAAGGCCAAAGCTTCGAATTAGTAGAGATCGACCTACGAAAAGAGTGTTTTACTCATGGCCAATTGTATGTAGGCCTATCGCGGGTCGGGGCTCCTAAAAATCAATTTATTTTGCTGCCACAAAATAAAACAACATCAAATGTCGTTTATAGGGAAGCTCTGACCCAATAAATTTAATGGCTTATGTTTTGTAGATATTATTTTTATACAAATATTAGAAATAAAAATAAAATAATCAAATATTAAAAAAGAAACAAAAAAAAGATACGTAAAAAATAATAAAAAAATCATTGTCTATACTTATATATATATATATATAATATTATAAAGAGGAAAGATGTTTTTGTTAGTTTGTTTGTACCAAATAAGGATTTTAATCAATTTTTACCAATAGAAAGCTAAATTATGGGGGGGGGGGGGGGTGAGTGGATAAAATTTAAATTTTGTGTATAACGTGTATATGCCGATAGATAAAAGTATTCCATTAATTTTGCTAATTTTTTAGCTAAAATGATTGAACTAAATGAGCGAGGTGTCATATCATGTCGCGCGGCAGAGACGCGTGATATACGCGGGTGAAACCGCGGGGTACAGCTAGTTCATTATATAGACAACGAATGGAAGTATCGATTTGTAGTCCTTGATTTTATACCATCACGCGGTCGACATACTGGGGAAGATATTGCAACGACTTTTCACGAATGTTTATTGGAATATGACATAATTGATAAAATACAGGGTATCACGGTCGACAACACAACTGCAAATACTAAATTTATATATGAATTGGACAAACAGCTGCCACACTTTGATTCAGATAATCAAGACCTTAGCATTACACAGTGAAACTGACAATAAGGGACCA